TACGAAAGATTAAAACGAGTGAAAATAACTAGCATTGGCCAACTATGAAAGGAGAGGTACTTTGCTATCTTGCTAATGAGCATAAGCAGGTTCACTCTTTCTAGAGGGCAAGTTGTGATTATGTATCACATCAGCCAGGATAGGCTAGGCTCTGTGGCAGTAACAAGCAACCCCCAAATCCCAATGGCTTGGGACAAATGTCTGCTTGCTCACATGATACAACCACTGCAGGTGGGCTGGTGCTCTTTTCTGTGTTGTCTTCCCTCTAGGACTGGGGTTGATGGAGAAGGCTCTATCTGGAATATTGCGAGTCTTCTTGCAAAGGGAAAACCCATATGCCATGGGTCTTACAAGGATGACCAAAGGTTACACTATTTGGCCAGAGCAAGTGGAATGACCAAATGTAATGCTATGGAGAGAGAAGCCTACTCATGCTCCAGGGAGAGGCAGAATTTTTCACGAGAATAGGACCCACCATGTGCATCCAAACTCAAGACCTAACAATTTCCTTAAGAAAAAAAAAGGGGGGGGGGAGCGCCTGGGTGGCTCAGTTGTTAAGAGTCTGCCTTCGGCTCAGGTCATGATCCTAGGGTCCTGGGATCGAGCCCCGCGTCGGGCTCCCTGCTCAGCGGGGAGCCTGCTTCTCCCTCTCCCTCTGCCTGCCTCTCTGCCTACTTGTGCTCTCTCTCTCTCTGTCAAATAAACAAATAAAATCTTTTAAAAAAAAAGGCAAATGTATATGTAAACTGCTATATTGCTCATAAAGGACAAACTAGAAATAATCTCAGTGTCTACCAGGAAGTCATAAGCTAAATAAATGAAAATGTACAGAAAATAGAATATATTGCAGGAATTAAAAATAATGATGTGTGTTTGCTGGCATAGAAAGATGTCCTCAATAAATTGCTAAGGAAAAAAGCAGATTATATGTACCATATTATATTAAATTACTGTGAAGTCATACCTAAAACATTTAATTATCTCTAGATCAGAGATTTTCATCTTTGGCATTTTGCCTTTCTATGTTATTTGAATATTTTACAATAAAAATGCATGACTTTAATCTTTCAAAAACCAACAAATCCATTTCGATATTTTGAATAATTAATGTGCAGTGTCATGAGGATCCAGCAAAACAGGCAATTTCATAAGCCTACTGGTGCAAGGAGAAATCAGTCGTCTTCCTAGAAAGCAAGATGGCCTTTAAAAGGCTCATACTCTTAAACCCTATAATATACCTCCTAAAGCTTGATCTAAGAAGCAATGCTCCGAGTGCCAATAAAAGATACACTAAGACATCCATTCATCAGAGCATTACTATAAATAGCAAAATTTCAGAAACACCAAAATGCCCAGCAGATGATTAAATAAGCAACGATGTATGCAGGAATAGGTTTTCAAAATCAAGATTCTAATGTACTTTTAAAAGAAATGAGCTCAGACTATGCTTATAAGTGAAAAAAGTAGGATCCAAAACTGTATTTGTAGGATAAACTTTAGAGATAGATAAAGAGACCAACAGTTCATGTAAAACATCAACTTCATTATCTCCGGGTACCAGTGGTACTTGTTTATATTTTCTTCTTTGCACTTGGCTCTTTCTTGTTCTGTTTTTGTTTTGTTTTCATTTTTCACACCTAAATACTTATATTGGAAGCAGAAAAAAAAATCTAACAAATATTACTGTTAATATATCAGAGTAAAGGAGTAAAGATCAGAGGGTAGTGTGATCATTCACAGGGAAAGTCAAACTCTATCCAGAAGGACCTTCACAAATCACTAAAATTAGAAACATTCTGCCACAATGAAAACTTCATGTACTCCAACTTCATTGCACCTTGAAATTCAGCAAGCCCACGTGGAAACCCATCAAACACCACAGCCCAGTACCTCCTCATGGTAGGGCGCCCAGCACACCTTCAGGAAGTGGGCCTCTGGGCAGCCAGGCCAGGGGGGCTGGCAGAGGAAGCCACAAGGACCCGAGATGTGCTTTCCAGGTCTGGGGTTTCTCTCGGGGTCTCTTATCCCAAGAGGAAAGCCTGGCGCTCCACAGACTCACATCATCACATTTTTAAACTTCCTGCGTCAGAGGGAAATGATCACCGAGACTTGAAGTCAGACCTAAGGAGCTGAAGTTTAAGGACATCAGTGGGCAGCCCAAATACAGATTTGTAAACCAACAACCACGTTTGGGGATCTTGGCTGCCAACCCAATAGGCATCCAGGGAATACCTGATTCAGTTACAGGACTGTTGGGAAGATGTTCATCCAGTTAAGTATGTTGTACCGGACGAGCTCACCACAAGCAGTCCTGAAGGCAAGAGCACCACGGGACATTACTCAGGCTCACTTCTGAGTGCACCTGGGTCTTCCTCCTGCCCCTCCAACTCTGGTTGCCCAAGGCTGGCCTTCTCTCGTTAAGGGAGCTCACCAGTCCCTTCTGACCTCTCCTGCCTCTTCATTCTGCTCTTGCCCTTCTGGCCTCCTGGCTGTTCCAGAACATTCCAGATGTTCCCACCTCACAGCCCTTTGATCTTGCTGCTGCATCTGGACTGCTCTTCCCCTAGACAATAGCACAGCAAGACTCTCATTTCTTTCCTGCCTTTACTCAAAAGTTCTCTCCTCAGCGAGGAGGGCAAGTTTCAGATCAGCCTGGCACATGCCGCTCATACCCTGCTTGCTTTACCTTTCTCCTCAGCACCTGTCCCATGCTAGGGATTTTATGCCTTTTACTTAATTGTCTTACTTATTGTTTCTCTCCCCCAAGAGTACAGGAGCTCCATTTGAGTAGGGAGTTCACTCTTCTTTGTTCAGCCCTCCGGTCCCTAGAACACTGCCCACCGCAACCCATTCAATAAATATTTGCTAAATCAATGAATCCATTAAAAAGAAAAGAAGGTAACTTCAAAACTCAAGAACCAAAATCAAGAAGCATAATTCATGCAAATAGTTTCTACAGTTTTTTTTTTTTAAAGAACTGCAGCTCAGTGTTTGCTTGAAGTGTTATTAGTTAATAAAAATTCCCTTGAAACCAAAACCAAATGCACAATTTACTTGATAGAATGTACATTGCAAAGTCTTGCCAGGCATGAAATGGGTCATCTCTCGCTCCTCATTAGCTCATTATCAATTAAATTTCCACGAGCATGTGGTGGCCGCCTCCAGACGTCCTCCCAGTGCCGGATAAAGCGGGAGTGATCATCACGAAAGGCAAACTGTGAAATTTGAGTGGATGTGTCATGCCTCTTGCAGCTCATCTCCTCATATTACATTTTTAAAAGCACAACTTGTCCTATTATGAGTATTTTCCAAGAGGAAAATGAAGTATAACGTCAAGATTTGGACAACAACAAATACTCCAACTGAGAAACTAGTAAGTGTTTACAGTGCTGAGGATTGCAGCTACGGGTTTTTCTCATTTTATGGAATAGGAGCAGCTCACAGGAGCTGGTAAACACAATTTTCCAATGAAGCTGTGTAAATTTCAAAAACACCTGACTAAACATTTGGTGAGTAAGAGGCAGAAGAGAGCAACCGGGTGTGCCAAATACCATAGATTCTTCTATGATCGCAGGAATTTCTCCATGTAAAAAGGCACCCACAGGATCCCTTTATTTTCTATCTCAGTGATCGTCAATTGGGGAGTGATTTTTGTGCCCTGAAGGGACATTTGTCAATGTCTGGGGACATTTTTGGATGTAACAACTGGGGAGGAGGGGAAGGGTCCTACTGGCATCTAGTGGGCTTTCCGCTAAGGTCAGGAACAAGACAAGGATGCCCACTCTCACCATTTCTACTCAACACAGTACTGGAAGTACTAGCCAGAGCAATCAGATAAGAAAAAGAAATAAAATGCATCCAAATCAGAAAGAAAGAAGTAAGATGATCTCTGCAGATGACATAATCCCATATATAGAAAGCCCTAAAAACTCCACAAAAAAAAAAAAAAAAAAAAACCTGTTAGAACTAATAAATGAGTTTCGTAAAGTTGCCGGATACAAAATCAACATGCAAAGATGAGTCACATTTCTTTACCCCAATCAAGAAAACAAGCCCACTTATGATAGCATCAAAAAGAATAAAATACATAGAAATAAATTTAACCAAGGAAGTAAAAGATCTGTACATTGAAAACTATAAAACACGGATGAAAGAAACTACAAATAAATAGAAAGATAACCTGTGTTCATGGATTAATATTGCTAAAATATTCTCACTACCCAAAACAACATGCAGATTCAGTGCAATCCCTATTACAATTCCAATGGCATTTTTAACAGAAATAGTAAAAAAAAATTCTAAATTTTGTATGGAACCACAGAAGACCCCAGATAGCTGAAGCACTCTGAGAAAGAAGACAATGCTGAAGGCATCACACTCCCTCATTTCAAATGATATTACAAAGCTATAGTAATGCAAACAGTATAGTATTGGCCCAAAAAACAGACACCCAGATCGACAGAACAGAGCCCAGAAAAAAATTCAAGCACGGAAAGTCGACTGATTTTCAACAAGGGCACCAAGAACACACACAATGGGGAAAAGATAGTCTCTTCAGTAAATGATATTGGGGAAACTGGATATTCACACACAAAAGAATGACATCTGATCCTTATCTTACACCATCCACAAAAATCAACTCCAAGTGGATTAAAAACTGGAGCATATGACCTGAAACTGTAGTTTTAAGGATTTCAAAATCAAGGTATGGGGTGCATGGGTGGCTCAGTCATTAAGCGTCTGCCTTCGGCGTCTGCCTTCGGCTCAGGTTATGATCCCAGGGTCCTGGGATCGAGCCCTGAATAGGGCTCCCTGCTCCGCAGGAAGCCTGCTTCTCCCTCTCCCACTGCCCCTGCTTGTGTTCCCTCTCTCGCTATATCTCTCTCTGTTAAATAAATAGATAAAATCTTTAAAAAAAAAACCCCAAAAAACAAGGTATACAACTGACAGGCAGACATGGCTCCCCAATCTTATTCAAAGAGCAGGTACAAAGCACCTACTATGTGCGCCAACCTCTGCCAGGCTGAAGAGGACATAAACTGAAGGATGCTGACACTCTCCGTCATGGAGCTTACCAAGCCTAGAGAGAAAATACCAAGCATTACCGAACAAAGCCGAGAGAAAACAGTTTATAAGCAAGTTGCAAAACATGCTGAGAACCCAGAGAGAAGCCACCCCGTGAGGAGGCGCGGGAGAGAGTTCCAGCAAAGGTGCCAACTGAGACTGCCCTGCAGTAGAGAGAGGGGAAGGGTGGGGGTCCAGGGACAATAAGGACCTGCCAGGGTGTGGAGGTGGCACAGCCCGTGGCTGGGGGACAGCAAGTCACCCGGCTCAATCCCCTTACTGACATAGTAGAAAACCAGGCATTGGAGCATTCTCGTAGGGGGACTTGAAGGAAGAGCTTCCGAAGATGTTGCTGCCATACTAAAGCCACATGTATGAACAAAAATTGAGAAGTGGCGGGAGAACAGAGTGGAAAGTGGCAAGACGCAGCAGGGGTGGAGGGCGGGCGGGAGGTGGGGGAACCAGAGAGGAAGTATAGCATCTACTTCAGGGGCATGTCGCAAAGCCCCAAATTACATCAGTGTGACCCCAAAGAAAAGTGGGAGACCATCACGGGCCTGTCCAGTATTTAGAAAGTGACTAGATGCAGGGTTGCAACCATGGGCAACTAGCCAGATGGGGACAGCCAGAGCCGGCTACGGACTTTGCGGCCCCCGGGGCAAAATGAAAATGCCGGGCCCTGGTTCAAAATCATTAAGAACTTCCAGACAGCCACAGCAAAGCATGACACCAAACAGGGGGCCTTTTTAAGCACAAGGCCCTGGGTACCGACTGCACAGGTTGCACAGCCACAAAACCAGCCCTGGAGGCAAGCGGCAACAATGCCAAATGTTCGAGGGTGGTGATGAGCGGTGTTTCAAACTTGTCAAGTAGGAGATGTTGGGCGAAGGTTGGCACAAGAAATCCTGCAGCTGATGTGAACGCAAGTGTGACTCTTGGGAGAGCTGTCCGGGGCTGAGAGCTGGCATCAGCAGAACAAGCCTTGAGGGGGCTCTACCAAGCGGCAATATTCCGAAGGCGGGTGTGAGCCAGGGCTCTCCGGAGAGACAGAACCAGCAGGGGATACAGACACACAGAGGTATTTTAAGGAACCGGTCAGACAAGCGTGAGAGCTGGTAGGCTGGAAACTCAGACAGGAGCTGATGCTAGTGTTGAGGCAGAATTCCTCCCGCTCTGGGGAACTTCGGTTGTTCTTGAGACCTTCAGCTGATCGGACTTGGCCCACCCACATCCGCAGTGGTCATCTCCTTAACTTAAGTTACTGCAGCTGGTAACCACGTCCACAAAATGCCTTCCCTGCTCGCAGAGACAAGTGTGCGATTAAGTAACTTGGTGATATAGCCTCGCCTAGTTGATGCATAAAAATAACCGCCACGGGGAGTGAGAGACAAACCGGTGGAAAGAGGCTCAGGAAATGGGCCAAGAAATGGAAACCAGAAAGTCAGGTGAGACCAAGAAGCAAGAAGCAGACAAGAAGCCCATGGAGTCCAAGGAGGCGGCCTCAGTGTGCATGACCCAGCTGCAGACCACTTCACGGGGGCTCCGGGATTTGGGCGGTCCCGAGGTCAGGCCACTGTCAGGATCAGACGGCTTATTCCAGGGGCACCTGGCTGACCAGCAAGGAAGGAGCTCTGAAACCCCGCCGAACTGTGCACCAACCTGCGCCCGGCACAGGCCTGCCCTCCCCCACCTTCGTCCCGGAAGGGATGTCATCTTCCAACTCTGACAGAAGCACCCAAAATCCTGGGGAGGGCGGGGCAGCCCTGCGCAGGCCAGGGGCAGTTTCTGTGGGTGGGCTGGGGGAAAAGAAGTAAGAAATAAGAACTCCAGGGGATGAGGCCGGGCGCCCCGGAATGGATGCTTTCACAACAGCCGACAAGAGAGCCAGAGGGACAGCTGCAAAGCCAGAGAAGGTGGGAGTCCTGAGTGAGCGGCGCAGAAGGCCGGGCCCTGGGCACCCGCCCCAGACCCGCCCGCCCCACGCGACTTTGGCCTTGGGAAGCAGAGGACTTCAGGAGCCTATCAGAGCCAAGCCACTGGCAAGTGAGTCTGGGACTTGTTTGCTTTGGGATTTTATCCCCTTGTTTATGAGAAGGGTTCCAAATATGATGTAACAAGAAGAGAACTAGCAGAGAGGGCAAGATGGGAGAGCTGGTGGGGGCTGGGGGGAGGAGGTTCGTGCTGGGGGGGGGGTCCGTGCCCAAAGGGAGGGGCTCCATGCCCAGAGGGGAGGGGTGTAGGCTGTGCGGCAGTGTGTCCTTGGCCTTTACTGAGCCACTTCCCCTGCCCCCTGTCCTGAGACCTGTCAAGGGCAAAACCAGCCTGGCCAGCCTCACCGCTATCCCTGAGGCAGGAGCAAGAAAAGGGGGGACAAGGCTGAAGAAAGCTAACTCCCTCTTCTCTTCAAAATAGAGAGCCAGGATGAGCCGGGGCGGGAGAGGTTGAACCGAAACACGGACCAGAAGAGGTACCTGCCACCCACCAGTGGTTCTCAAAAGTGAGCGTCAGAATCCCTTGCCGGGTCGTGGAACACAGAGTGCCGACCCCAGCCCAGAATTTCGGATTCAGCAAGTCTGGAGTGAGTCCCCAGATGCTGCTGACGCTGCTGGACTCTGCAGCCACACTTTGAGGACCTCAGGGACAGGTCAGCAAGACCAAGGAGGGACGACCAAGAGGGCAGTTCGGCTTGATGCTCAGTGTGAAATGGGTCGTGTGTGGGGCTTGGCACACTTGTGTAAAAACTTGAACTCCTATCATACATTGTAACTCATAGGTAATTCACGGCAAGACCCTTGAAGGTAAGAGTCTGCACCTGTCACCGGGTCTTGCACACGGCACTTCCTGCAGTGAAATGAATGTTGTACTCTTTTATTGGGTAAAAGGTCAAGATAACCGGTCATAAAGTGACAAGGATCTAGTTCTTCTTTCATAACAGTCCTGTTATAAATAATGTAAATGGTTAAAGGAGATTAGTGGTTGCCTAGGGCTGGAGGGGCCGGTTGGATAGAGGGTCACAGCTGGAGGGTACAAGTTTCTCTCGGAGGTGATGCCTGCATACATCTGTAAATGTCCCAAAAACCACTCATTTGTCCACTCTAAGAGGGAGAATTGGATGGTATGCGAATTATGTATCAATGCACCTGTTGTTAAAACACTCTTATCTTCACTTTCCCCTTCAGACTGCTTCCTTTTAGTTTGCATTTGGGGGATTTCCCATCACTTAGAACTTTAAAGGCTTAAATTAGTTCCCTTTAAAAAAATTTTTTTTCTATTCCTGGACGTTCTATGACGACTTCATTATTTAATTTTACTCATGTCAACATTTTATTTTTAAATCACAGAATAACAGAATCCTATCCTTTCACAGATGGAGATCATCCATATGTGAACCCATCCAATTCTCCAGGCAGACACCCTAGGCTTTTTTGGAGTGGAAGCCATGCACATGCAGTGCTCTTCACATATTACACAAATAAACAGCCCACCTCTTCTGCAAGTGGAAAAAAATATTTTAAATGCATTTTTTAAAATTTCTTCAGCATTTCAGGTATTAGGAAGTGGGGCCTTTGGGTGTGATTAGATCAGGAGGGTGGAGCTCCATGATGAGATGAGTGCCCTGATAAAAGACAGGACCTCAACGGGCACCCATCCCACCAGCACCTGATCTGGGACTGTCAGCCTCCAGCACTGTGAGCAATAAATGCTATGTGTGTAAGTCACCCAGTCCACGGTGTTTGGTCACAGCAGCTCGAATGGAGTCAAACATGTTTTAACAGCAAACATTCAGGAATAGCCACTTCTTTGAAAAATGAGCTTTTTTCATTTTTACGGAGACTTGCTTCTAAAGTACATATGTTACTGATAAGGAAAGAGCCTCTATGTATTGCTAAAACTCTTATGTTCAAATCAAGCCATTCGCAAACTGGTAGATGGAAACAGATGCAAACAAATGGTTGATATGAATTTTTAGTTATGTTCAAAGGTCCCCTCCACCGAAGTAACATTAGGAAACCTTTCAAATAAGTTAGTAGCATCTTAAGTATTTGGGGACCCAATAAAATTATTAGTAGAATCACCATAAGACGCTGTTTTTAACAAATGAGATAGGGTTTTACTTTTTTTTTAATAACTAAATACACTGTACCTCATTCTAAAACCAGTGTATTTAGATCTATTTACACCAAAGAAAATTCCAAATTCGCCAGAGTTCATGGTAACTGAATTTTTTAGAGAAATGTATCTATTCTACTTTTCACACATGGCAGTGAAGATTCAACCCTCCTCTCAGGACCTTCCCGGGGGCCCTTCCTGATCAAGGGCTCCCCGGTCTCCCAAAAGTACCCTCAAAGAGATACACCTGTCATGTGTCCCACCTCGGTGACAGCTCTCTGTCATGTTTAAAAAACAACAACAACAACAACAACCCAGTCTAGGGGCACCTGGCTGGCTCAGTCAGTGGAGCATCAACTCGACCTGGGGTTATGAGTTCAAGCCCCACCTTGGGCATAGGGCTTACATAAAACAAAACAAAACCAGTCTAAGCGACTAAATTTGGGCAAAAGCTGGGCGCCTGGGTGGCTCAGATGGTTAAGCGTCTGCCTTCGGCTCAGGTCATGATCTCAGGGTCCTGGGATCGAGTCCCGCATCAGGCTCCCTGCTCCTTGGGAGTCTGCTTCTCCCTCTGCCTTTCTCTCTCGCTCTCTCTCTCATGAATAAAAAAAAAAAAAAAAAATCTTTAAAAAATAAATAAATAAATAAATTTGGGCAAAAGCTTCCCTCCCGGTGACAATCCCCTCCCCCACAAAAATATAAATTAATACCACCGCTTTCCTCCAAAGTAGAATTCCAGATACTGCCAAAGGAGGAAATCTGTGGTCCAGCAGGCCTTTCGGCTTCTCTTAGGTGACCTTTGGTATGTGGCCCCAACACATGAGTGCCTTCTTCACAGGTAGGGTGACCGACCATCTCAATCTGCCAGGGGCACAGGGGTTTTCCAGGATGCAGGACTTTTCGGTGCCACCGTGGGAAAATCCTGGGCAGAACAGGGCGAGCTGATAACCCTCGAGGGCCATTAGGTACC